AAGAAATCTGAAAAATGCAAAAATGCACCGCCAAGGGGATCCGATCCATAAACCCACCGAATGAGAGCCCGTCACGCTATCCACCACACCATCTGCCACTGCGACATGGAAATGCAGGACCTGTTGAAGAGAAATGCGCAGATGACCGGAAAACTCCAATGCAGCTCACCACATGCCAAGTAAAGCATTTGGATTTTGACCTTAAAGGCACATTCCGCGATAAAATAAGGCTATGACCTCTCAAATGTGTCGGACGATCCGGAAGGCGATTTTTGAGGCTGCGCTACTTTCAAAATGTGAAAAACGGCAAGAACTCCGCTAGAAGCTGACTAATTAGGCCCATGGACACCCCTTAGGCCCATGCCGACCCTCACCGGCTGCTAGCTACTAGCTAGTAGCCACTATGTTATCTTTCTCTATAACATTTCGGACTGCTTTTTCTGCTGCTTTTCTCCGCTAATCAGATACTTAGCACTTTTTTGTGCCTATTTGAGTTCCGTTTCCCGCAATTTGCGGTCGCGAACTGTGCCTTTTAATTGCGCCTTGTTTTCAAGGCTGCTACATGGATACCCTACATATTATACTATAACCTGTCAACGCTACAGCTAGAAAAGGTGGTTTAAAAAGTCCATTCTTTTCGAACTTTTTTGACCTTTTTTGTTGACGATTGTCCAGTAGTTAGCAAAAATGAACCATCGCCATGTGATTTAACATAGACCTCTACACATGCACAAACGTTTCGATAAAGCTCAGAAGACCTGAACGACCTCCCTTGTAAGTGACAGTAGTACTGGGCGATACCAGATCATTCCTGTATAAAAGACTGTTTGTCGAGTATGGTTCACTTTTCGTTCGGCTCTCGCTTGGACTCAATAAACGACTACGCTGCATCCGGTTTCGATATAGAACACTTTCAGAGCGCGATCTGCAGCGCTAAGTAGTTACCATGATGAAAAAGTTCCTTTTCCCGATTGATTCCAGTTTTTCAAGCTATAAGCAGATAACAGCTGTTACATACAAACCTGACGCGTCTTCATCTCTGTTATCCAAATCCCATGCAGAAGTCTTCGTAACCAGTTGAGCGCATATGATAGCAAAACTGAAATCGTCGAAATGTTCTAATATTTTATGTTGCTCGCCGGCACAAATGTCGATCATCATTCCGGGAAAGTCATAATTTGTAGAGGTTTTCAAGTCCTCGTAAATACATAATTTAATTCAATTAATCTAAGCAATTTGAGTAAAACTCATGCTGCAGAAAGGCACTTGTGACAAAGCTGATAAATGTTCCATTCTGTAAACAAGTAATACTCTAGTGCACCAACCTGTAAATGTCAGCTTCTTTAGAGCCATCAAGGTCATCTTTACGTAATATTTCGGGTGCAGTCCACAATAAATCTGAATGTAGTGAATGTATCAGGTTGGCGGGTAAGTTCTGTCATACTTCTTAAAATTACTCTCTGTTCATAGAAAGCTATAAGATCAAAAATATATAGCATTGTTATTGCGGGGCTCTAGCCAGCTTTCGAGCAGCTTATGGGCGCAAGGCAAAGTTGGACATCGATATTTTGACGTGGGCTCGGATCGCGAAAGCTTTTTCCTCCATATAAAGGTAAATGAGAGAGGCAACTGACAGTTAGAAGGAGCAATGTCTGGGCTACACCGGTGCAAGGGGAGAGCCATCCAGCTCTATTGCATGAAGTTCGGCTCGAACTTTTTTGGACGGAGTGGCTGCACTATCATGTTGAAGACGGACTGTGCGGACAAATTTTTCCCTCTGATCGACGATTCGCTTCAGGTCTGTGGTCGGTGCTTTGCGTAAAGATTGACGGTGGGAGCAGCTTCTTGTCCACTTCTTTCTTGTTCCTTCGAGTTTCGCGAGCTACAGCTCCCTCAACTGAGTCCATATGTACACTCAAACGTCACTCCGCCTTCAAAACCTAACCTCCCGTACATTGCAAAAGATGAAGAAGTAGGATTCAAGCGAGTGGCACTAGTAGAAACAGTATCCTTCTGTGAATTAGTGCCAACATTATCGATTACCCCTCTTCAGGTAATGGGCCAATATATTGAGTCCAAAAAGGGTGACAGAACTTCCCGCCAGCCTAGTAGTAATCCATTACGAGGTGACGACACGCTTATTTCACAAAAAAAAAACTGGATGAGCTAGTGACGCAAAACTTCGCTATCTTTTCCAAAGGATGGAACTATGATATTCGAGGGGTGCCTTCGGTTCCTATTTTCAATTATACCTTGTCATAAAACATATCAGGAGCCATCAGAGGGAAACCTGTTCTCACCCTTTTCCTAGGAACTCCCCTCCTTTTCCTAGGAACTCATTATATCCATGCAGCCGCTTGCCCACAATTTTTTCATTTTCTCAGTTCACGAACGAGAACGACCTTGTCAGCTAACCTGTGCTACGGACCGGTCTTCTTTGTAATTTATGGTACCATACTCGCGAAGCGTAGGCGGAATAAAAAATTGGCAGCGTCTGGACTGGCGATCTTTCTTCGCGAAATGGTTTTATTTTCGGATTCATTTCGAGCCGTGTTGCTGGTCCATTATTTCGCATAGCAGGATTTACATTTCCTTTGCACCAGGCTCCTCTTTCCTTGGCAGTCATCTGTTTACTCTGGGCTCCATAGGTGGCAGCTGGTCTTACGGTGTAGATCTTGGGCTTCGGCCCCCTTTTGAATCACAGTGACCATCTTAATTTAATTGAACTGTGACAAGACTTGTAAGCTAAGGCTGCATATCGCGGTTGTTTCGTTTGCATCGGTCCCAATGGTTTGGACAAACTATTGCGACCGTTTTGAAAATATTAAATCACTCAGGCCAAACTAACCTTGCGGCAAGCGCTTGTCATACACTCTTAACTTTCTTAGGCCGTAGTCGGATACCTTCGCTTGCCAACGGTCATCCACGAGACAACATTTCGATGTCAGAGAGCCGTGATACTCCAAGAACGACTGATGAATGAAGGCCAAGCCCTGGAAAATCAATAATTGCCATACTTATCACAAGAACTGCTCCATGAGCTGAACCTGGAATGGAAGATTTAGAGACAATTAATGAGCACTGTGAATTGTTCTGCACTGGAACGCTCTAATGACAGTGCGACAATTCCCTTATGGTGCTTTCGTTCAGACTGCAACGTCTATCTACCGAATAAACCATGAGCTCAGAGAAAAGAAATAGTGTTCGGCAGCGTTCAGACTTTGCGATGACGCGCGGCGTGACGCGCTAAAACTGCAACAGTGCTCCAGTGCTATATAGCGCTCCAGATGCAAATGCAGCCGCAGGAGGGAATCGAACAACGCCGACCGTTTGTTTATTGAGAGAGTACGGGGAGTAGGTGGATACGCACCGCCTATTTACGCAGTCTGGCAACGAAAGCTTTTGGCAGCTTGGGCTCCGGAAGAGTATGGAACAAAGGGAGTGAGCTGTCGGTGCGTCGACTCCCGCTTGTCGTGCGTCATCACGAACTCTGAACCCCGCCTTGAATACACGTTCCGCAACTTTAAGTTGTGGGCAGTGAATAGAGATATATGTAGTCTAGTTCGCTGCGGACGGCGTGTCAGTGAATTGTGAATTTGGCACGGCGCCGAACCCGTTGACAAGACTGTATCATATCGCTTCATATGATCGTTGCCGTAATTACCGTATCACCCGCTTCAACAACCGTGGCACACTCGTACTGCCTGACACGCCCCTTTATCAGCAGTGAACTA